GAGATGGTGGTGAAACACTGGAACAGGTTGCCCAGAGAGGTTGTGGAGTCTCTGTCCTTGGACAAGGTCAAAAGCCAAGAGGACACGGTCCTGAACAACCTGCTCTAGGTGACTCTGCTTTGAGCCAGGGGGGTTGGAGAAATGATCTCCAGAGGTGCCTTCCAACCCCAACCCTTCTGTGATTCTGTGACTAGATGGGATGTGTCCTGAGGCCTGGAGAGCTCCCTTGATGGAAGGGCTAGGAAGAGCTGAAGGTGCTTTCCCAAGAGCTTCCCCAGTGTTGGCATCTTATGAGTCCATCCGTGGTGCTGCAGTGCTTGGAAGGATTTGGGGAGGGGTCTGGGAAGCTGCAGAGCAGTAGGCCTGACATTTGCTTGCAGGCAGCCGAGTAGAAACTGCAGTAAAGCCTAAGCTTAGAAGCTGTATGGATAAAGATGGTATTTTATGAACATGTCAACGTGTCTTCTGTAAGGGACGGTCAGCTGCCATCGAGCACAGGGCAAGGGGGGAACTGTAGCGTAAAATGAGGGACACCTGAATTTGGCAAAGTCACGCAATGAAGTATCCAGCATAAAAGTGAGTATTCCCAAAGGGATGAGTAAAATAATTGGTCAAAAGAGTGTGTGTTCAAAGGAGCATTCAGAGCTGCAGTCTTGGGGTTCAAGGTGGCAGGTCTCTGAAACTCTCACTTCAGCTCTTGTGGCAGCCACCCAAGCAGTGTGAGCACTGGAAATTCCTCACAAAGGAGCAGAAATCAAAAGAGCAAAATGGTACATTATAAAGCTTAAAGTGCAGCGATAATAGGGTTTCAATATCCTTCTTCTTTTGTGTTTTTTCCCTTTTTTCCTTTTTTTTTTTCTGATTTATTCCTAATTAGATAAGTTCACAGCACAGCTGCATCACCCTTATATCAGCCAGTGTGTTAGCTGAATGTATGATGTCACATCCTCCCTGATCTGCTTTTTTCTCCATGTGTTCAGACTCCATCTTTCACCATTTATTTTCAGAAAAAGGAAGTGTCAGACCCCACAGAGTTCTAGGCGCTCCCAGAGACACTAACCTGTTGAAAATCTTGTCCAGCTGAGCAGTGACTTCTGTGGTGTCTTGAAAGCAGGGACAGGTGAGTAGTATTTGCAGTTTCTGTTGAGTGGGACTGGCAGTTTCAGAGGAAGGTAGAGCGCCAGATTTCCTGTGTTTGTTTTGCAAAATAAATGGACTGGCTAATGCAGCGTCTAAAATATTGTCTTATCCACTATAAAAGCAGAAATGTATTTCTAAATATATAGAAGTGCAATTGTAGTAGAAGTTCCTCCTCTCACTAAAAATACAAGCCGTGCTTTCCTGCCTTCACTATAGCAATAGGCTCTGTCTCCTCAAGGCTGTACCTGCTTTCTCTTTACAGTTTACCGAGCTAAAAATTATTTACAGGATTCGACAGGCTGTGGTGTGGAGGGAGGGAGAAATAGGTATGTAAAAAGCAGAGTGGGTTCTTTTAGCTGCCTCTAACACCCCTAGCACACACTGGCCTTTCTCTGCAGGAGAAGAAAATGTTCTGGGAACACAGAGCTGATGATCTGTGTATCGGCTGGCTCTCCTCTGCCCCCCCAGCCCCCCTGCCTCGTGGGGAGACCAAGCCCCAGTGCCTAGTGGAGAGCGGTGGCTGTGTGCTGTTGCATTTGGAAACCTCCCAGTGTGGCTGACAAGTCATTTTCTGGCTTCATGGAGCATTTAGTATGTGACGTAGCTGCAGGGGTGGATGAGAAACAGCGTTGTGCCAGCTGAGTTCTCTGTCCTGTTTCCTGTCTGTTTGGTTAGAGATTAGAGCTTTTGCTGTTTCCTGAAGCTCTGTTCTGGAGCATGGGGATTTGCATTTGGAGATGGAGCAGAGAGGGGCAGGAGAAATCTTAGAATCATTTAGGTTGGAAAAGACCTTTAAGATCTTCAAATCCAATGTAAGCCTAGCACTGCCAAGTCCACCACTAAACCATGTCCCTAAGCACCACATCTACCTGTGTTTTAAATACCTTCAGGGATGGTGACTCAGCCGCTTCTCTGGGCAGCCTGTTCCAATGCTTGACAACCCTTTCAATGAATAAATTTTTCCTAATATCCAATCTAAACCTCCCCTGGTGCAACTTGAGGATGTTTCCTCTTGTCCTGATTGCCACAATCCTCCTTGCTGCTTCTTCATATGCTTTTCCACACTGTCCTTTAGGGCCCCAGTGGTGGGTCTAGGAGGTTCTGATTCTGCTGTGCTTTAATGGGTGGCAAGGGCAGAAATGCTGATGCTAATGCTGAGAATGTAGCTAAAATGACTTCTCTTCTTGTTGCTGCCTTGTCAATAATCTTTTCCTCTCCATCCCTCCCTTTTGAAGGAGGAAGAGAGGAAGGTAAGGATAGGGTGGAGGAGGGATTGTATATTCATCACCAGATAATTCCACTTGCAGAGCTGAGCAGGTCACAGCCAGCATGGCCTTTGCATCCTGGGTTGGTGACAACTGGGTTAAGCAGCACCATCTACCAGAGAAGGTAGATGTGAGGACTTGGCAGAGGAGCAGTGTTGGGAAGCAGCTTTGAAACTCTATTTACCTGGGCAGTTCTTGTCCTTATCATCTGCCTCCAAAGCTGCCTTGTGTCAATTCCGCTCCCACTATCCATCCATTGTGCTATGCTACAGTGCCAGCAAAAATGAGCCAGGCTCTCTGTAGGGGCATATGGTTGATTTCAAAAGGCAGCAACTGCTCGTTCAGCAGTCTGGGAGACTGAAGCCTCTTGATAAGAACTGATGTCAGCACTGGGGTTTTAGTATTGTGTTTAGTTTTGGAGAAGGACAGGTTGTGTATCAGGGGAAAAAAACTCTCATCATGAGAAAAAGCTCTCATCAGGGCAGCAGTTCCACACAATGTCTTAACAGAGCTCCAGGAATATTCATAAGGAGCATTCCTATTTTCTTGTCCTAGGGTTTTTTGCACATATGTCTCATGTCCAGAATGACCTGAAATTCTAGAAAATGATAGATAAGGTCTCTAATGCTGTTCCCAGAGTTTGTTGTGCACCACCATGAAGGTATGCCATTTGTGTGTCAAATGCTGTCTGTCCTTCCAAGTGGCAAGCACAATGTACATGGACAAAATATATGGGCAGAACTGAGGATTAGTCTTGGTTTGTGATATGCAAAAAGGAGAGACATGTCCTTATTTTGCGTTTGAAAGAGAGGGATCCAAATTCTGATGTGGGACCTGAAGGCCCTGTGACAATACAGAGAAGCCAGGAGATTGTTTCAGAAATGACCAAAAGGCATAATTTAAGTGTGCTGCCCTGAGGTGAAGGAAGGAGAGTTCTGCTCTGCTGTGGCACTGTCCTAAGGCTCATGGTCTGCTGCCTTGCCTGTCAGTGTCTTTTCTTTCTTTCCTCCCCTTCAGATCACAACAGTTGTCTTGGGAGAGGAGGCTCCAACAGGAGCAAGACTGCCCAGGATGTCCAACTGCCTGCCAAAACTGACCACAGGGCTGCTGAGCCACAGGCTCGGGGCTCTGTTTATCCTCGCCATTTCATTTGTGTTCTTGACCTCTGTCATGTTCTACTGGAGAAGTGAGGAGGATGCTGAGGGCCAGTTCTACAGCTTGCCTACACAAAACAGGTGTGATCAATTTTTGCCTTACCTTCCCCATCCCACCGTCGGTGGGTCCCCTCCTCCACCAGGGGACGTGTTTTTTGTGGAGACCTCAGAGCGAACTGACCCAAGTTACCTGTTCACATGCTCTGTGGAGTCAGCAGCCAGGATGCACCCTGGGACAAGGGTCGTGGTGCTCATGAAAGGTTTGGCAAACAGTAATGCCTCGTTACCCAACCACTGGGGCTTCTCGTTGCTGAGCTGCTTCCCCAACGTGGAAATCCGGCCCCTGGACTTGACGGAGCTTTTCTCAGGGACACCTCTGGCAAAATGGTACTTGCAGCCTGAGCACCAGAAGGAACCTTATTTCTTACCCGTCCTTTCTGACGCCTGCAGAATTACCATCATGTGGAAGTTTGGTGGCATCTACCTGGACACAGACTTCATTGTACTTAAGAACTTAAAGAACCTCACCAATGCACTTGGTATGCAGTCTCAGGATGTACTGAATGGGGCCTTTCTGTCCTTTACACCTAAGCATGAGTTCATAGAGCTTTGCATGCAGGACTTTGTGGATAACTACAACGGCTGGATCTGGGCGCATCAGGGCCCAGGACTCTTAACACGTGTCTTCAAGAAGTGGTGCTCCAT